AGGGTCTCTTCACGACTATGTCAAGAAGTTCTCTACCTTAATGTTAGAAATTCCTGACATGTTGAGAAAGACCTATTCTTCAATTTGATGGAGGGCTTAAAACTTTGGGCTGAGCAAGAGATACAACATCAGGGTGTGCAACACCTGACGTCGGCCATGACTATGGCTGAGCTATTGGTGGAATACAAGAGGAACGATCCCTCTAAACAATGCCCCTCCAAAAGTGGTCAAGCCCACAGTGGGGGAGACCCAGAAAGGACATTTAAAGAAGGGCTTAACAGACCCTCATATAATCGGGATAGTAAGGGCAAAAATACTTTAGACGTGTCCAAACTCAAAAATGTGAAATGTTTCATTTGTGATGGATCTCATTGGGCATGAGACTGTCCTAAGAGGAAAGCCCTCAATGCTCTTGCGGCAAAACTGGATGAACAAGAGGAGGAAGATAGTCTTGAAACTCAAATGGGGTCAATACAACTCCTTAATACGGTGAAGGCTGAAATTAAGAAACCCAAACAAACACGTAAGGGTCTCATGTATATGGAAGCCAAGATCAATGGTAAACCAACTAAGGCCATGAGTGACACAAGTGCTACCCACAATTTCGCCTCTATTGAGGAAGCTCAGTGGTTGGGATTACAAGTCACTAAAGAACCATGTTGGACTAAGACTGTCAACTCCAACACAAAATCCATTCATGGTGTGACCAATGAGATAGACATGAATATTGGCTACTGGCGTGGGAAAATTGATCTATCTATCGTACCCCTAGAGACTTTCAGGTTGTCTTAGGAATGGATTTCTTTAACCAAGTAAAGGAAATTCCTCTTCCTTTTGTGAACTTCGTTTGCATCTTAGAAGAGGGATCCCTTTGAATGGTGCCACTAAGACAACTCCTATGACCCTCTCTGCCATCCAACTAAGGGAATAAAGAAGGGGGAACTAACATATTTGGCAACCATAAGGGAGACCCTTGAGGGAAAAAACTCCAAAGAAGTACTTCCTAAGGAAGTAGAACGAGTCTGTGACGAATTTAGGTATGTAATGCCCCCAGAGCTACCCAAAAGATGCCTCCTAGGAAGGAAGTCGACCATAGGATCGAATTGGAACCAGGTACTAAGCCCCCTGCTCTGAGGCCCTATAGGATGGCTTCTCCTGATTTGGAAGAACTACGGAGGCAGGTAAAAGAATCGTTAGATGCAGGCTTCATTCAACCATCCAAAGCCTCATACGGTGCCTCAGTATTGTTCCAAAAGAAGCATGATGACTCCATACGATTATGCATTGACTATTGGGACATCAACAAGGTGACTATAAAGAACAAGTACTTGATCCCGTTAATCGCCGACTTATTTGACCAGCTAGGGAGTGCGCGGTACTTCTCTAAACTAGACTTGAGGTCGAGGTACTACCATGTTCAGATTGCGAAAGGAGATGAACCAAAGACTACATGTGTCACCAGGTATGGATCCTTTGAAATTTTAGTCATGCCTTTTGGATTAACCAATGCCTCACTTACTTTTTGCACTTTGATGAACAAACTACTTCACCCTTACCTTGATTGATTTGTGGTGGTCCACTTGGACAACATAGTGGTGTACAGCTGCTCTTAGACGAGCATGTTGAACATCTAAAGACGATTTTTCAAGTCTTGAGGGAAAATGAACTATATGTAAAGAAAGAAAAATGTTCATTTTCTCAACCAGAGGTGATGTTCTTGGGGCACAAAATTAGTGGGGGAAGACTCTTCATGGACCAGGAAAAGGTAAGGGCTATACTTGAGTGGGATCCCCCCACCAAAGTAACCGAGCTGAGATATTTTCTTGGCTTGGAGAATTATTACCGTCAGTTCATCAAAAACTACTCGGGAAGGGCAACACCCTCGACTGATCTATTGAATAAAACATTGAGTGTGCCTAGGACAAACAATGTCGGCAGGTCTTTGAAGATCTAAAAGAAGTTGTAACAAAGGAGCATCTGTTAAGCCTCCCAAATTACCAAAAACCTTACGAGGTGCACACGGATGCTTCTAACTTCGCCATTGGTGGGGTACCTAGGCAAGACGGGGACCCAATTGCTTATGAAAGTAGAGATGATGACTATAGCACATTGTCTAAGGACTTGGAGGCATTACCTCTTAAGGTCAAACTTGGTGGTTAAGACTGACAACATTGCCACCAATTATTTTCAAACCCAAAGGAAGTTAAGCCCTAAGCAAGCAAAAGACGGCAAGATTTTCTTGCAGAGTTTGACTTGATGTTCGAATACAAGCTAGGGAAAACAAATCAAGTTGCTGATGCCTTGAGTCGAAAAGCGGAATTGGTCACACTAAAGCTCGAATCCTTGGCTACCATCTGCCAACTCCAAGGCCCTATTCGAGATAAGATAAAAGAAGGCCTCCAACATGATTCGCTGTCTCGAAACATCATTGAGATGATTCAAAAGGGCAAGACTGGGCAGTTTTGGCTAAAGGATGGGTGGCTCCACATCAAGAAGGGCCGGCTTTACATGCCATGGTGGAACAACTTAAGGAGGGAAATAATTTGAGAATGTCACGACACTCGTTGAGAAGGCCACCCAGGCCAGCGGTGAACCTTGGCCTTAGTGGAGGCAACCTACTACTGGCCAAATATGAGGGAAGATGTGGAAACCTATGTCAAGACTTGTCTTGTGTGTTACCAAGACAAGGCGGAACAACAGTCACCAGAGGGACTCTTGGAACCTCTCCCCATACTCAATAGACCTTCAGAGAGTTTATCAATGGCCTTCATCTTTGCCTTGCCCAACTCTAGAGGACGAGTCCATCATAGTAGTGGTGGATAGATTCTCTAAATATGATACTTTCACAACTGCTCCAAAGGATTGCATTGTAGATGAAGCAGGATGGCTATTTATGAAGAACGTGGTAAAATATTGGGGCTTACCATGAAACATTGTCAGTGATCGAGACCCACGGTTCATCGGGCGGTTTTGGACTGAACTACTCAAACTACTAGGGTCTGATCTACATTTCTTAACTAGTTTCCATCCTCAGACAGATGGACAGCCTAAGCGAGTAAACATTCTTTTACAGCTATACTTAAGATATTTTGTAAGCGCCAACCAGAAGGATTGGGCAAAACTGCTTGATGTGGCTCAATTTTCTTACAATTTACAAACGAGCGAGTCGACTGGGCGTAACCCATTTCAGTTGGTAACAAGACAACAACCACTCACACCCACCTCTCTTTTAGAAAGTTATGGGGGCAGAAACCTTGCAGCTTACCGATTTGTTAAGGGGTGGCACAAGAAAACAAACTTAGCTCGATCTTATCTCGAGAAGGCTGCCAAACGAATGAAGAATTGGGCAAATAAGAAGAGACGACTTGCCAGGTATCAAGTGGGAGACCTGGTCATCGTGAAGCTCCTACCCCTACAATGCAAAGCATTTCGAAGGTTTCAAAAGGGTCTGATACAAAAATATGAAGGACCCTTCCTCATAACCAAAAAGGTGGGGAGGTATCCTACAAGCTTGAGCTTTTTGCACAGCTTAAAATCCACCCAGTATTCCATGTAAGCCAATTAAAATCCTACCATGAAGACTTGGATGATCCAAGTCGAGGAATCTCGAAAAGGGCCTCGCCAGCCACAACCTCTTGTTTCGACAAAGAGGTCGAAAGTGTCCTAGCCAACCGAAAAGTACAACATCATGGATTCTTGCCTTACAGAGAATACCGGACTCCAAGGCCAACTGGGAACACACAACTATTACGGCAATTTGAAGACTTGATTAAAAAGTTTCACGAGAAAGGTGCGACGAGGGCGTCGCAGGATTAGGTGGGGGAGAATGTCATGCCCCAAAGATTTTATTATGCCTTGGGCTAGCCATGCCTTGCACATCATGTACATAGGCGTCTTTTGTGTCACTTGGTCTTGGAAAGTTGTAGAGAACTCTAGGACATCCACGAGTACTCTAATGGACTACTAGACATATATTGAAGGATGTATTTTGTAGATGGCTCTAGAAACCATACAAGGACTAGAGGGTTCCTAGCCGATAGTAGTGGGCTACTAGACATATCTTGAAGGATGTATTGTGTAGATGGCTCTAGAAGACATTAGGGCTAGAGGGTTCTGAGCCAATAAATGTAAGACATGTGGGCGAATCTAGAAAGATGGTTATAAGGCCTTGAGCTTGTAAAAGGAGAGTGACCCCTCATTTGTACAACACCTTAGACCTTGTAATCCTTCTTGTGTTAGTGGATATTGAGCTCTTCATATTCCCTCTAAGGGCATGTTTGATAGCAGGAAGTGTCTTCGTGGAAGTTGAGAACTTCTTAATATTGTTCAAGTTTCGTGTTTGATAAAAAAAAAAGAACTTTACATCAAAACTTCACGGTGCCGTTCATCTTCCTATCTCGTGTTAAAAAAAAGTTCTGACCCAAAGGACGAAACTTAAAATTGGAACTTTTTTTATGAAGTTCACCCTCGATAAAACTATCACAAGAAGGATTACAAGGTCTAAGGTGTTTTACAAATGAGGGGTTTCTAGAAACCATACAAGGACTATAGGGTTCCTAGCCGATAGTAGTGGGCTACTAGACATATCTTGAAGGATGTATTGTGTAGATGACTCTAGAAGACATAAGGGCTAGAGGGTTCCTAGCCAATAAGGGCGAATCTAGAAAGATAGTTGTAAGGCATTGACCTTGTAAAAGGAGAGTGACCCCTCATTTGTAAAACACCTTAAACCTTGTAATCCTTCTTGTGATAGTGGATATTGAGCTTTTTATATTCCCTCTAAGAGCGTGTTTGATAAGAAGAAACTTTTTTTTGAAAGTTGAGAACTTCTTAATACTGTTCATGGTTCGATAAAAACAAAAAACTTCACAACAAAACTTCACGGCGCCGTTCATCTTCCTGTGCCGCGTTAAAGAAAGTTCCGGCCCACTGGACGGAACTTAAAATTGGAACTTTTTTTTAATGAAGTTCACCCCAGACGCCCCCACCCCCCCCCTCCCCCCTCCCGCCTCCCCCCCTCCGCGATAACCCTAGTTCCTCTTCTTCTCTTCTTTTCGTTCCCATCTTCGCCACTGAGGTCGTTCACATCTTCCCATCTTGGCCGTTGAGCACCCCTCTCTTCGCAGCACGACCCCTATCTTCTGTTCTTCGAGTTCAACCGCTGAGCCAGCCCTCTGTTCGCAGTACACCACACATACCCCTCTCTTCTCACACAGCCCTCTCTAGGGTTTACTCAGCTGTTCTTGAGCTCCGATCCTTGTTATTGATTTTGAGGTATGCTATTGACTTTATTGTCTCTGTTTACAGCTATTGATCCTTGTTTTTTTTACTCTGAGCTCTGATCTCTGTTAACAATTTTTTTTAGGTGGACCATAAATTTTTTATTGAGCTCTTTTTAAATCTATTTATCTATGTATTTGTTCTTGCTTTTTTTTACTCTGAGATCTGATCTCTGTTTACAGTTATTTTTAGATGGACCATACATTTTTTATTGACCTCTGTTTAAATCTATTGATCTCTATGTTTGTTCTTGCTCTTTTTACTTTGAGCTTTGATCTCTGTTTACAGTTATTTTTAGATGGACCATACATTATTTATTGAGCTCTGTTTAAATCTATTGTTCTTTGTGTTTGTTCTTGTTTTTTTACTCTCAGCTCAGATCTCTGTTTACAGTTATTTTTAGATAGACCATATATTTTTTTATTGAGCTCTGTTTAAATCTATTTATCTCTGTGTTTGTTCTTTCTTTTTTTACTATGAGCTCTGATCTCTGTTTACAGTTATTTTTAGATGGACCATACATTTTTTATTGAGCTCTGTTTAAATATATTGATCTCTGTGTTTGTTTTTACTTTGTTTACTCTGAGCTCTGATCTCTGTTTACAGTTATTTTTAGATGGACCATACATTTTTTATTGAGCTCTATTTAAATCGATTGATATATGTGTTCGTTCTTTAGCTCTTGAAGCAAAGAGCTCTTAGTCTCTGTGTTATTGATCTTTGTGTTTGTTCTTGAGCTCTTGAAGTAAGATCTTTTATTCTCTCTGTGTTATTAATCTTGAGGTATGCTATTGGCTCGAATTTTCTTCATCTTTCTCTCACTATCTCTTCTTTGAGCTCTGATCCTTCTTATTGAGGAAAAGATCTCTTTTTTGTTATTTTTTTATCTTTAAGTTTGTTGAATTTTACTTAGCTCCAATTATGAATGCTGTAGCTACCATGCTCTTTTTGTTACCCTTCTTTTTTTAATGAATAATGCTTATGGGTTCATGAAATACGATATAATTTTTCTAAGATATACAGCTATGATATGGGTTTATTTATATATTTTTATGCAAACAAGATGTGCATGAATTACCAATATTTTCATTTTCTTATTGAATATGTTCATTTTTGTATTTGGATTTTTGACTACTTTCTCTGTGATACAGTGCTAACCTTGCTTCCTGTTTGTGAATAAAATGCTGAAAGCAAACTGGAACTGAGAATAATCTTACTTACTTTTTTGTGATTTTTGTTATTGGATTTGGTGACTTTTACTTAGCTCCAATTATGAATGTTGTAGCTACCATGCTTATTTTGTTACCTTTCTTTTTTAAGAATAATTCTTATGGGTTCACTGATATAATTTTTCTAAGATAGACAGCTATGATGTAGGTTTGTTTATATCTTTTTATGCAAACAATAAATGCATGAATTACCAATATTTTCATTTTTTTATTGAATATGTTTATTTTTGCATTTGGGTTTTTGACTACTTGCTTCCTGTTTTTGAATAAAATGCTGAAAGCAAACTAGAATTGAGAATAATCTTGCATACTTTTTTGTGATTTTTGTCATTGGATTTGGTGAGTTTTAATTAGCTCCAATTATGAATGTTGTAGCTACCACGCTTATTTTGTTATATTTCGTTTTGAGAATAATGCTTATGGGTTCATGAAATCTGATATATTTTTTCTAAGATATACAACTATGATGTGGGTTTGTTTATATCTTTTTATGCAAACAAGAAATGCATGAATTACCGACATTTACATTTTCTTATTACAACTATGTTTGATTGCCCTCTTGTTGAGATCTTTATTCCTATAAAATATTTGGTAGTGTAAAACTCCTAAGTCCTCACAATTCATGATTCTCTCTCACAATTCTCTTTTGAGATGGATGAGTGGTGATCTTTACAGGTTATTGTTGAATGGGCTGGTTTTGTACATGGTTTTCTTTATGGATGCATGAATTGTGAATGTTGCTTGACATGCATCACAAATGTCTTAACAAATAACATACAAATGTTGTGTGTCATTATAATCTTAGCGAGAGAGAGAGAGAGAGAGAGAGAGAGAGAGAGAGAGAGAGAGAGAGAGAGAGAGAGAGAGAGATAGTATAGTAGTATAGTATAGTAGTAGTAGTAGTAGTAGTTACGTTAGTAGTACGTAGTAGTAGTAGTAGTAGTATAGTAGTAGTAGTACGTAGTAG